CCCCTGTGTGGGGAATCAGCAGCCCTGGCTGTTGTACCAGTGGACGGAGTGAAGCCTACTGCTGTGAGATCTAGCAGAGGAGCAACTGAAATTGCTCCTGCTGTTTTTTTGTGAAAGTGGTTAGAATCTTTTTGCTGCCTGCTGTGTGTCCTGTACGCAGAAACCCAGCTGCCCAGCTGGAATAACCACCATCTTCCCTTATGTGTGAGCATCCCCTTTGGGGCAGGGGGCAGAGCTGCACAGAGGAGGGCCAGTGCAATCGCCCATTGCCTCAGCACTGCTTTTGTAGGGTGGTGACACCCAGGCCAGTGTGCTGACACCAGGCACCCCTGGCCACTGTGCCTCCCATGCTGGCACAGAAGCTGGAGGCAGGAGGTTCACAATCCTCTTAACAGGCCATGGCAGGAGAAATCGTGGTGCTACCTGTGCCTCTCCTGAGGACAGCTTGCTGAGGCATGGCAGTGTTTGGTTATCATCCCACTAGTGCGAACCAGAGAGAGAAAACGGGCACAGCACAGCACATTGCAGACTTTTCCCAGCCGCTCTTGAGAGCTATGATGATGTGCCAAAACCCCTGTGGAAATATGCTGCTTCGCTGTGCCTAAAAGAAAGGTATCTAGAAATTGGGTCCATTTAGCTCAGTTAAAAGTCTATGTCAGCAGCACTGCTTGTGGTACCCTATGCTGAAAAAATTGCAGCTGATGCTCCTTGGAGATGGCAGCAGTCCTGAGCCAGCATTAGCAACAAGACCTGCGCTGGCAGGTGAGCTTCAGCCTTGTATATAGAGTGGGGCTGATAGGTGGACTGCTGGCTGGTGGGGTGTTAGGTGCAGAGATCACCTGTATGGATCGGCTTGTGTTTCCACTAGATCAGACCCAGCAGAACTAATCTAGTCTTCACTGACCTTTCAGGTTTCATCTACTTCAATGCATGAGGTAGTGCAGCAGCTTTTTGTGGAGCTGTGACTGGTGGGGATGGGGAAACAGCATAGGCTGCAGCTATGTGCCTTATAGCAGGGTGCCTTGGAGGAAGGGTCTTGCTAGGTCCTGCTTCCCCTGTGCACTCCAGCACAGCATCACCGCCGCTCTCCATGCTGCAAGGCTCCTTCCCAGCTATGCTGCTGGTCAAGCTGAAGGCTCCACCAGCCTAGCAAGACCCACAGGTGAGGTGACATGATATGGCAGTGCACCTCCACACGTGCAAAGGCAGCACGTGGAGGAGGTCCAGCCGTCGGTGGGAGGGAGCTGAGCGGGTCAGCAGGGAAGAGACCTGTGATGCTACGGGCATGTCAGACTCATTAGCCAGGTCCAGCCCCGCAGCAAGGAGGGGGTCCCCCAGGGACTCCATCACCCCACAAACCATTGCTCCTCAGCCTGCCCAGCCCATGCACATGGGCCCCCCTTCTAAACGTGGGGCTCCAGCTGCTGGCCCTGGATTGGACACCAGCACACGCAGGGCTCTTCCCTGGACTCCAAGTTCTCCCCTCCTGCTGCCTGCGTCCTCATTGTGTCATGCCGGGCCTTAGGAGTGGCTCAGATCCTATTTCGGAAACAAAGAGTGAAGCATTTTCAATCTTTATTTTACAAAAATAAACCAGTTTTGCCCTGGCACTCTGTGGCCCCCAACCTTCCCCTCTGCCCCTGCTCCCATTCCTCTCCCTGGAGCCCCGTCACGCCAGCCAGCCTCTCGCACGGAGGCTGCTGGTGCCCCACGCTCCTGTCGGCATCCCCAAGTAAGCACCGGGGAAGGGGGTTGGGGCCCTTTTGCGAATGCCTCCTCTTCCCAGGATCCAAGCTGGAAACTGCCTGAAGATGCCTCCTGGTGGCTCTGCCATTTCTGGACAAGGAGCAAGTCTTAGGCAAGTCACTCAGAGTACACACTTTAAGAAGGAGTGTCCATCTGTCCGTCCGTCCCTCTCCCTTGGATGGAAAAGCGAGCCCCACGAAGTTGCTTCTTGCTGTCGGTGGAGCCGGCGGGCTGCCGTCCCGCTGGCTGGCTCAGTGCTGGAAGCGTGGGGAGCTGATGTGGGGCTGGTGGAAGGAGTGCGTGGCGTAAAGCACTTCTGGAGGTGGCGGAGGGGACGCCAGGATGGAGCAGAGCTGTTCGTGGGAGCTCAGCATCGAGGCGAAGTGCTTCATCTCCTCCGTCAGCTGCTTGATCTCCCGACGCAGGGCAGCGTTCTGCCTCTCCAAGTCTTCGCTCTCCTGAGGAGACAAAACCCCAGGGGCTTCCTCAGCACAGGAGCCGCAGGGATGAGCTGGGGACACCGGGGTCGCGGTCCCACGCCTCTCTGCCCCGCAGAGTTTCCAGAACGACATGTTTCTGGTAAATTCGGCACAGGACCGCGCCTGGGCAAACCCCCCTCCCCCAGCCGGCCGGGCCAAGCGCGGGTGCGATGCTGGTGGCCCCAGC